CTCAGAGTGGGAAGAAAGGGAAGAGAGTGGGATATAATTGGAAGGATAGATTATTGTCCCTCTCCCACCTCCCAGAGTGAGAAGAAAGGGGAGAAAGTGGGGCATAATTGGGAGGGTAGGTTATTGTCCCTCTCCCACCTCTCAGAGTGGGAAGAAAGGGAAGAGAGTGGGGCATAATTGGAAGAGCATGGTATGATGATAAACCAATGGCAGGGGTTCCTCATTCGAGAGTTTGGGTTCTGGTCTGTTGCTAGAGGATATAATCATTGCCTACAAAGTTGGTAAGATATAAGAAATCCTTACAAAGGGTTGGTATCAATTACTATGTACCATATTCCAAAATCTGATTTCAGCAATGTCAGTATTAAGTATATCTTTTCAATTATAGGTTTCTGCATATGCAGGATTAATATAAAGAGTTGCCACAGAAAATTGTTTATAGATAGTACTTACTATGCTCTAAAGGCTCAGAAACAGAGATGTTAATGTCTAAAGTTAAGTTTCTCCTAGCTCATACCAGGCTTCTATACCTGGTTGATAAATACTTGTATACCAATACTACTGGCCTCTTTAAAGAGTAATACTAGTTAGTAGTCTATTAATAATACAGAGAAAAAAGGTTGAGGTATACACTACCTTGTGTAGCTATCAGCTGTTTACTTCTTTTGTGTTTTCAGCTGATATAGGACCCTTATTCCTAGCAGGAAGGTCAATATTCAAACTCCTGCTTGGAGGTGTTTGGAGATTGATTTTGCAAGGTAGAAAGTAGTTTTTTATAAAAATAAAGAAAACAGTAATCTGAAAATGAGATATTAGTATAAAGAATCATAAGAGGAAGTTGGTATCAATTGATACTTACAGTATACTGAAAATCTAGATTCAGAATTGTAATTACTAGTACTCCTGTACTAGGAGACTTTAGTTCTCTGAGAACTACTTATACTAGTACTACCTCAACTGGCTATTGGTAGTACTAGTAATTAAGAATAGAATACTCTAATAAAATATAAAAAGAGAGCTGATAGGAATAGAAGAAATAATAATCTGCAAGTATAGTATTAGTATAAAGTATTATTATTACAGTATAACCAAGTAGTTTTAGGTTAATACTTACTATAGTAAACTTAAAATAAAATCTTAAAGCTATATAAATATTTTATCAATATTCTAAATCAACTTTATGTTAGCCTATTTCAAGTTGTAGTAAACAATTCTTTATATATAACCAATAAGTACCTATATTTTAAATCTATCATATATACCTATCTTGTCAGATTGCTTTTGATAGTAGCTTATTATAAAAGAGGTAGTAGTAGGTATTATACTTATAGGTACTAGAGCTACAACCACCCACCCCACCACATATCTCGATCCGGATGACTATCTTTCTTTAGTATCTGGAAAACTTTGATCTACTATAGTGATAACTTACTGGGTGGTTTTATAAGTAGATAATATAGGTAAGTTTTTTATAAGATGATAGAAGTACAAATCCTAGAAAATATAGATTAAATATATATATTTAGTACAACTCAGAATTATTATAGAGAAAATGTTATAAATATATTGGTAGACTTGAAGTACTTACTAGTATTTAAAAATGTTCTGAAAATTGAGGAAAACTGTGCTACCAATAGTAAGTATAACTTTTCTAACCTGATTTTGAAAAGATATACTTACTATTGATAATATCAAATTAATATTTTAATTAATAAATGTAAATGTACTATTAGAACTATTATCACATAAGTTTTTAGTTTTTGTAACTTGAATAATAAGATTAGAGATAGGACAAAAATAGAGGATAATATACTAACAAGTATATCTAGCAGTCTAAGCTATCCTGCCCTATCTCATAACCTTTATCTAGATAGTCTTCTACTTACTTAATAAATAAGTAGATTCTGTCTATTACAGAATATAAATGATCTGGTCAGTTTTACCACTACTAGAGTAGTAGTAATTCCATTGGTTTCATACCCAAATGGACTGGTGAGAAGGAGTATATTGGTCTAGAATATAAGTAAAAGACTAGTATAAGAAATTGAAATAGAGAATAATAATCAACATATACATACTGGAGTAACCAGAATACTGGAACAAGACATCATCAAAGGCTGGTGATGGCTTTTCCAGCCCAATTCTAATACTGTAAGTACTAAATTATTATAAATCATAATAGTTAATAAATATTTTAAAATACTATCATAATAATAGTCATACCTGTACTAGAATTATTTTGGTAGCTATAGTTATTTCAAGGAGAGAAAAAGGATAGTATACTAACTAGTATAGCTACCAGTAGTTTTTCTTAATTTGATTAGAGAAAGGTGTAGTATTATAGACAAATCGTACAAATGATTTGCAATAGTCTCTATTCTTTTAATTAGTATAGAAAATAATAATAATAAATAATTGTTACTCAGATATACTTACTATGATTAATAATTAAAGTTAATATAAGGAAAGTATAAAATAGAATATACTTCTTATTTAAATGTACTAATTTATAGAGGTTGTATAAAATTAGTAGTTATTTAAATATTAGTAGAGAAATATTCATACCTATTATTAAACCCCTTTTATAACAGAGGTTATTATTTACTTATCCTCTATAAAAACAAGAAGTTTTATAGATAGTTATTTGTAAATGTACTGCTGAGCGATGATATTCCTACCAGTAGGATAATTAAATGGTGAAAATCTTAAATGTTCTAAATAGACTGGTAGGAAAGAGTAATATGATCTATAAATAAATGAATAAAAGTTAGTATAAAGTAGTATAATAGAAAATTATAGGATAGACTTACTACTAGTAAAGTATTCAGAAGAATATAATAGAACATTATTAAAAGCTAGTAATGCTAGTGTCTTTTCAACTCCAATTCTAATACTATTAGTATTAAAGTATTATAGATAATTAATAAGTATTTTATTTTATTAATTATAGTTTATATTTAAATTTTTTATTTATAAACTTTATTAGTGGGGCTGTTAGAAGTACAAATAAGTCATTTAAATATTTGGTGAGTATATTCTATGCTTTAGTAATTAGTATAGGAAGTAATTATAAGAAATTATTATTAGGATTCACTAGTACTTACTTTCATATTCACATAAAGTAATTATAATACTGTAAAAGAGTATTATAATAAATCAAAACTTTAAATGTACTAAATTATAGAAGTCATATAAGATTAGTACTAGTTAATTAAATACTAGGATAGAAATAGTCATACCTAATATTAAATATTTTCAGAACAGTTATATTAATTATAGTTTGTAAATGTTCTTCTAAGTAATGAGATTCCCAGTTTAATGGAAAAACTCTAAATGTTTTTAATGGACTGGTGGGAAGGAGTAATGGGGTCTATAAATAAATTCAATAAAAGTTAGTAGAAAGTAGTATAATAGAAAATTAGAATTAAGATAGACTTACTACTAGAACTCCAACCAGAAGAATGGGACAAGACATCACCAAAGGATGATGCTTCCTCATCATTTCTAATTTGGCAGTTAAGACTAAATTATTCCATATAGTTAGTAAGTACTTTATACTACTAATTTCAAGTTGATAATCATACCTGCACCAAGGTTGTTTTTGAGAGAAGATTAAATGAATGAGAGGAGGGGCAGAGGGCAATACACTAAAAAGTGTAGCCAACAATTACCCCTTCTCTCATCATTATCCTCTTCCTCACTACTGTTAATTGGTCATTGAACAGGGAGTTGACAAGATCTCCTAGAGTGGGGTGAGGAGAATGTTAAATATTTTTAGAAGAGGAGGAAATAGTATAGAACTCTAATAAATAGTTAGTAAAAACTTGAAAAAGTACTGAAAGAACTCTTATAAATAAATAATTTCTATAATTGGAAATAGCAGATGGGATCATACATAGCACCTGTACTAGGTCTCTCAAACTTGTACTAGTACCTAAAGGTATTTAGGTAAGAGGTTAGAATAATTTAAGGAGAAATAGAAAACAATATACTAATAAGTATAATAATCGGTAAGTAAAAGATTAGTATAAAGAATTATGATAAAGCCTGAGAAACTAATATTAATATTTACTTACTTACTTAAAGTTAAAATAAAACAACAAGAACACATCCTTCTCGAAATCCTGCTTATCGGGAGGGAGGAGGAGGGAAACAAAATAGTTAGGAGGGAGATAGAGGGCACTATGCTGGAGAGCATCGCCATCAACTATCCCCCCCTCCTTCTCCTCCTCCCCCCCTTTCCATCCTCTTTCTCAACAGCGATTCTGTACTATAAGTAATTCCTATTTGTAAACCTTCTGATCAATATAATAAGTCTTAGCAAATAGGACTAACCAGTTTTTAGTATGCTGGAGAAGTGGAATATAATAATCTGTATAAAAGAAATTAGTTTCAAAATTACTAGTAGAGATTAGAATAAATAAATACTTACTATTATTATCAGACCAGAGCACACCAATGCGCTTAGCATTTGTGATATTCATTATGAATGATTATTAAAAAATGTACTAATAATAAAAAATGTTCTAATAGTAAGAAATGATTTGTTAATATATTGTCATAGGAGGTTATCCCTCCTTTTTTAAATCAATATATTTTTGAATAGGCATTAATACCTATATAGTTTAATCTATAGTACCAATCAGTTTTGTATTAGAGTTAGTAGAAGTAAACAGATAAGAGTTCAACTATAGAGAAGGCAAGTTCTTACCTGTTATTAGAATACAGATAATTTACAAGTTTCTGTAGTTGTAGGCACGAAACTCAGAAGAACAATAGGAGGAAAGAAAGAGAAGTGGGCCATGCTATTTAGCATGGCCATGAACTCTTTCTTTCCTCATTCTTTCTTTTTCTAAGAACTATATTGCACAAGTGCAATCTGAGAAGAGAAGATTTGCTTTCAATTAGTTCATCATTGTACTTGAGGCAGTCTATAAATATAGAGTAGTTGGAGTATAACTGTAAAAGATATTAAATTAGTTCTTGATAATATGATAAAAAGAAATTGAAATTACCATTCTGAACCCCAAGGATTTACCCAATCCTACTATTCTCAAGCACAAACTGCTAAGACTGGTAGGTTAGTTAGGGGAGAGCAGGTGAGTAGGAGGTGGGATGTAGAAATGGGGGAGGAAAAGAGAGAGGTGATGAAAGAAAGAGGGGAAAGGGTAGGGAGAGAAGTAGAATGATAAAGTATCATTCTTAAGAGCTTATAATAGCTCTTTCAAAGCTGTGGAAGGATGAATGGATGTGGTGGGCCATCTCAATCTGATCGCCAGCGACCAGAAAGCTGTACAGAAAGCGATTTCCCTTCCAACAAGAAAGGTAAACCTCTCTCTGACCGGCACTGTGCTCCTTAACAAAGTCAGAGGTCAGAGCAGTCAGCCAACACTAGGCAGCTTCAGACCAGAACTCTGGACTGGAATCACATACCAGTGGATTCAGATGTGTTGTGACAGATGTGGAGCAGTGCGGATGGAGGTGGGGGATTGAGGAAGGAAGTGAGGAGCAGAGGTGGGTTTCAATGGGTATTTAAAGACCGAGCGGCCGAGCGGCCAAAATATTTCGCAGTCACTGTGCCTGTGTGCGGAGAGGGAAGGGAGAACTTTTGGTGACTGCGAGCGGGCTAACCCGCTATATTCATACTATATTTCCCGTGAGCGGGTGGGAGCCCTGTCTTTTTTTTCTCTTTTCTTTTTTCTCTCTCTCAAGATGAGACTCACGTGAGGAGAGGGAGAGAGCCCTACCATGCTATCAGGAAGCTTCTACTACTACTTGGTTGTCATACCTGTCCTCTGGATTGTGGATTGGTGTCTGGTATACTGTGGGGGGAGAGGATACTCAGGCAATACCTCATGAAGTGGACAAAGGAATTTGACTTTGTGTCTGCTGCTAGCGCAGTCCCTTTGGATTCCGGTATATCAGCCTTTCATCTGTTGATATTCTATACTAACCACTTCGGTGCAGGTTGTGGAGCTCCATGAGCACTCCGTCTCCCGCTCCTCGCGCTGAGCACGCACGCGATCATATGCGATCACTCGCCGCTCACTCACGCTCCTGCATGTCGGAGGGGAATCGAGGGGGGGGGGGTTATGATATCGGCCCCGCGTCGCATTGCTGCTATCGTACCCCATATATGCGCCTAGCAGACTCCCACAGCACTGTCGAGTGGCGTTACAGCCTACGGCATTCCCTTCACTCAGATCCCCGTACGGAAAATCCTTACCGGGGCCCGGATGGACCTCCCGTTGCGAAGATAGGGTCACAAAGTACGATACAGCGCTCGAGCATAACGCCGCCCGGCAGGAGAAAAGTGCGGTACTAACTTATGACACGATGCTCACGACTTCCTACCACTCTACGACAGCTCTTCTTCCGGAGCACTGCTGCGCCCGACTCTCCAATCGGACGTCAAGGGTCTCACAACCTTCAACGGTGAGGGCCAATAATTCTGTCGCCGTTGACTGATACACGGATAACTCGTGATAGGGTACGGTGCAGTGCGGTACGGGTACAGTACTGTATCGATATCATGATACGGTAAATGCCAAGATATTTGCAGTGTTTCACAAGGAAATGGGAGATCCCTCCCCGATATTAGCTCTAGGCAGCACTGGTCTTATATCAGGTTTTGCCTGCAGTATACAATATTTATAGGGTATAAAGGCGTCCCCCCTTCTCGAGAGAGTTGCTGGAATTCGTGTCAACAGGCATCGGCTCTTTCACGATAAGTCACTACTTGGACGTTTACGAAAAGGGATCGCATCATCCCCTCGACCTGAACTAAAAGCGTCATAGTCGCGTCTATTCGTGTTACTTGTATCCTTCGGTTACCCTCCGCACCCTTATCTAGACTGAGCCCCGCTATCTACCCCGCTACGATCCGTTCGCGTCAGCCTTAAAAAAGACCAAACACTAACAGCGGAAAACTCCCATCGAAAACATCAAACAAACACCCTTACCAAGCAGAACAAAAAGAAAAAGAAGGAAACATCTCATAATGCCCCACTACCTTCAACAATCAACCAGAAAGTCCGATCTGCCAATCCCCCTGGACTACCGGGTGATAGATGTGCTCCTGGACCACTGCCGGAAGGGCGACATCACAGAGCTACAGCAACTGCTCTTCGTGCTGGTGAACGAGTCCCCACCCTCAGTCATGCCTTTGGACCTCCTAACAGCCTCCAAAGGCAAAGAATCATTGAACAACACCCTCCACATGGCTGCCGCGAACGGTCATTACGGTACTTCATTCCTTCCATCCGTTTCACCTCTCCACTCCTTTTGCTTACTCCACCCACAGAAGTCGCCAGATACCTCTTAACCCTCCTCCCAAAGGCCACCCCGGCAAACCCCAACCCAATCAAACCCCACCCATTCGTGGCCCAGCGTAACAGCAGCGGGAACACGCCGCTGCACTGGGCTGCCTTGAACGGACACCTGGACATCGTCAAGCTGTTGATGGATCGCGGAGGCGCGGACCCCTTGGTTGCCAATAATGCCGGGCACAACGTCCTGTTCGAAGCCCAGTCAGCTGGTAAGGAGGATGTGGCCAAGTTCCTTTTGGAAACATGTCCAGAATTGGCGGCCCCCGTTGGACGCACAGAGGAGGGGGAGGCAGCGGAGGAAGGGGAAGGGGCGGGGAAGGGAAAGGAACCCGAAACCCAGCCGGTCACCGGGGGGATGGAAGAGTTGAATGTTTCCGCTGGAGATACTAAGACTGGCGAAGCTGGGAGCGCTTGAACAGTGAGGAAGCGGGGGGTGGTTGGTCGGTTAGCTAGTTTCTTCCATATTTTTCATGTATCCCACGATATCAATCTCTTTACCGACCCCCGCCTACCACAGTGGCACAAGAGAAGAAAAGAAAAAAAATAATAAGAAATATTAATCCCCCACTGCAAGTATCACACCCCAGTACCCCTCTACATACGCCCCAACCTTAGCGACAACCCCGAAATTACGCGCTGTCAAGTGCTGGGGTAATTACTTGTGACACCATTTCCTGTGCCCCCCTCCTTTTCCAGGATCACCATGGTCCACGGTCCATTGTCTCGAGAAGTGAAATCAAGGCTCTCCGGGGGCTGCCGTTGTCGCCTAACTTAACTCACCGGTATTCCAGCATCAGCGGAGGTGATTTAGCGGGTGGCCGACAGACAAAGGACCGTCCAGGCCCGTGCGGGGATTCTCTCTACTCGTATACCGTACTGTACCGGTAGGCATAATTTACGCCATCTGACCTGGCATGCAAGGAAAATGAGACTTATTCACTATTTCCAGCCCCTTGAGTGACTAAACATGAAGGTGAATGTGTTCCTTGACAACATTTCAGTTGCATTGGGAATAGCTACGGGACCTAGCGTAGGCACACAATAGGTAGACTACAGAATCAAGGAGCAACACGGAGAGACCACGTAATCAGAAAGGCCCTGGCAGACAAGACTCCATATTATCATTCCCCTTCCCCATCCTAGTGAGGGGCACCCTATGGGGAAAACAGGAGAAGGGCAGAGAGGCGGGGCCAAGCTTGGAAAGGGCAAAAGGGAAAAATATCCATATGGTGGTTAAAAAAATCACCGTTGGCCACCATCGGTCAGCCCCACACCGCCGGAAATCCATCCAAAAGCAAGAAAAGCCAGCCAGCAAAATGGCATAGATATCCATAGTAAAAAAAAAACAGAAAATTCTAACCAGCCTCCAGCGACTGAGCTAAGCGGACAGACTCAGGAATTACGCCAAACTCAAACAACCTTCCAAGATCTCCACACACAGCCAACAAACCCATCCAGCGAAGGCTCAGACGCAAGAGGATATCGAAGGGAGGGAAAGAAAAACGGGGAATAAAACACCGAAATAGAAACATACTCATCTTATCCATCGGGTTGGCGAAAAGCAAGGACGGACGATAAAACGAAGCGGGATACACGCAATCAATACTTAAGGCTTCATAACCCCGCCCGCAGGCTTCCTCCAAAGTCCCACGGTCTGCTTCGCTATCTCCTTTTCTTTCTGGTTCTCGGGGCTGATGCTCAGCGCGCCATCCATCGTCCCCCCCTCGCGCAGTTTGTGGATAGCCCTGATAGTGTCGATAGCGGCATGGAGAGTTTTTCTAGCATTAAAGTTCTTGCGAACGACAGGGAGAAGGTCATTGCCCCTGTGGCCTTCCACTAGGAAGGGGTGTTCCAGGGCTTTGTGACACGTCATGCGAGCATTTGGATCCACGGTTAAGCAACCACGGATGAAGTCCCGGGCTACGAGGGGTATATTACCGTTAGCAGAGTGGATCAGAAGGGGAAGGAGGAGGGTGGAAAGTGACGGGCAGACCTGTTTCGGAGACATCTTTCCAGTAATCTTCCGGCTCGAATTTATAGTCTGCTTGGGTGATTGCAGTCATCTCATCCACGTGGTTGTCCCGGTCGAAGGGTGTGTATCCACAAAGGAGGAAGTACGTGATAACGCCGATAGCCCAAACATCACTTGTCACAGTTAGTACTCAAAGGAGGTAGGTAGACCCAGCAAGAAGGCGGAGCTTACACCGGCTTCCCGTGGCCAGTCTTGTTGAAGATTTCGGGCGCCATATATCCCGGTGTACCACATGTTGTGGTCAATATATGGAACTGCTCCTCGTCCATGATTCGAGATAAACCGAAATCCGCAATCAATAGATCCGAATTATCCTCCGCAGTCCTGAAAAGCAAATTCTCGGGCTTCAAGTCTACATTCCAAATAGATCAGCATCTCAACCATTCCATCCTTCAGCTGCAGAGCTGACCTCTGTGCACGATCCCGTGATCATGTAAGTAGGCAACTGCTGATAGCGTAGCGCGAATGAGGTCGGATGCATCGGACTCGTAGTACGATCCCTTCCGACAGATCCGGTCAAACAATTCTCCCCCGAGGGCAAGATCGGTGACAAGATAAACTTTAAATAGTTAGTCCATAATAGGCCTTGTGGGTATGTAAGGGTGCTTGCGATTGTTCATAGTCTCGAAATAGTCCACCAGAGTGAGGATATTTTGATGACCCATAGAAACCTTCTTCAACACAGCAATCTCATTCCGAACCTAGCGCAAACAGATCAAAGAAAGAGCAATTAGAGGTGGTCTCGGGGAGAAAGAAAAAAAAGACTGCCCACGATAGGTGGTCCTACCATGTGCTCCCTTCCAACCATGAGTCTCTTGTTAATGACCTTCGCGGCATAATACCTCCCCGTGTCGATATGGACACACTCCTTCACGACACTGTAGCTCCCCGAGCCGAGAGTTTTACCAGTCTTGTAACGACAAGGTTGGACCTGCGGTTTCGGGGGGGCCGATGAGTTTTCGTAAGCAGCGCTCATTGTGGTCCGATAACTCGGTTAGAAGATCGCTACGGCGGAAATGTGTAAAGCGACGGTGTGCAAGTCAATAGCTCTGATGGAGGGGGGTATAAAAGCCGGCTCCGGTCGGCAACAAAGAGGAGGGATAGATTTTTGGGTACGATAGCAAGCGATGGGCGTGCGAACAGAAGACGATAGGACGAGGGAGTGCCAAAGCGGGGGATAACGGTTAACTTATGGGAATTCAAAGGTCGGGCAGAGGGTGTCAGCTCACTGGGAGGAAGAGCGAAGCAAGGCGCATGGTAGGGTGGAAGGGCAGGAGGACAAGTTTGATGGGACTGAGGCTGAAAAACAAACAGCCTATGGTGTGGCACGGTGGTGGTGGTGGTGGTGGTGGTGGGGGTGGTGATGGCGTTGGGAGGTTGTTGGAAGATGGATAGCGGTAGAGGGGCTGTTTACTCGCACGGTAGTCTACCCATACCGGTAAGGCGCCAGTACCGGCAGGGCAGTGGGGTTACTGTACCGTACTGTACCGTACGAGCAGACTGTGGGGCCCCCTTCCCGGTCGAGATACCGTACAGTACCGTATCAGTACAGTGCAGTGCCGGATCATGTCATACAACGAGGAAGATAAGTTACAAGTACTCGTGCAAGATAACCGAATCAGTCAAAAGCCCAATTCCCTGATACGGCACTCGTATCATACACTACCGGTACGAGTTCGTACTGTGCGGCACAACCCACCACCCTGCCAAGCTCCGCCACTATCACGATCCTGCCCAGCCACTGAATTTGGAGCTTCACAAGTGCGCTGGAATGGCATCCTCCGAGATTAAAACACTGCTATCCTCCCTGAGCCAGTACTTCCAGGCCGGCCAGGGCAACAAACAAGAAAAAGATCTTCTTTGTTCTCCTTTGACCAGAACACAAAAACAGGGTGAAAGAAGTTGTTTTTTGCCCTTTGTTATTGGCATCTACCAGCAGCACCTCTCTCTCTCCTCTGTCTGGCTTTCCTATCTCTGGGGATGGATGATGCGCAGCTGATTCCATACCAGAGGGACTATGTTGAGGGACATTGGACAGGGTTGGATCTCTTTTGTTAAGGGTTTTTAGGCCATACCTTAGGGTGCATGCCATGGATTTTCCTCTACCGTGCTTGTTGCGGATAAACGGGAGGGGATTAGGAAATAAACAACCCACCATCCTACCGCACCCGAGAAGCAGAAGAAATACTCATATATTATTGCACCAACGGAATATGGGACTACCGGTAGTCTAGCGAGTTAAACGCCCGAGTGTCACGGATACAGTACCGGCACTCGAGTACCGTATCGGTACCGTACTCTTGCTAAGGCAGATACAGTACTAGTGCCGGTACCGCATGATAGGATGTACTGTACTCGTACTGTACGAGTAGTACAAGTGCCAGGGGAGATGTTTTCGTACAGGACAGGGATTATTTTGCGGGTTAACCTGAATTAACCGTGCGAAAACATTATCCCTAGCACTTGTACATGTACAGGCACCGCAGCCCACGAGTGGAAAGTCCCAAATGTTGATGCTTACCGTATGCGAGATTGATTACCTGATTAGGCCTATTACTTGCAAGCGAGGAGAAGAGCACCACAGTTCTTACCAGCACAACGCCTATTCCGGCTAGACCCTTACACCTGACTTTATGGATACCGGTTCCCGACTTCTCGTAGAGGCACAAGTTCCCCCCGCCCCAAGTACGGTAGCATCCCAAGAGATGATCATCTACGACGCTATTAGTAAGTCGCAGTACCGTGCAACAGCATCCTCGATGGCCTACCGTACCGACAGTTGGGCGTCAATGTACTGTACTGTACTGTACGACAAAGGTGAACTTCAGCTACTTGCAGGACAGCCCAAGACTGGACAAATCTCCTTGTTCTGCCACTTGGCTGATTGATGGGCTTAAAGGTCTCAACAAGCCATTCTACCATCAGAGCTCTTGACACGTAATATATGATATTATAATGGGATCGCACTGTACCGACACAGTCCACACATACCCCAGAATCCTGTCCAAAGCGAGAAAAGATGCTACCGAGCACACGCTGCCCAAAATACTCTTCTCGTCGGAACCTTCGCTCCTAGACATCCCCGCGGAAGCCAGCGACTCCATCACCGAAATCCAAATGCTCGCATACTGCCTCCATCCAAGCTGCGCGATGAATGCCCTCCAATGCCAATGCTAGCCTTCGTTCGACTCTATGGAAAATCCTTCAGCCCGGGATACAAACACTAAGCCTACTGCTAGCGTGTCTCAAGTCCATCTCGCCCCTCCTCTAACCCGTCCCGCACACAATTCATATCACATCATATGTACGAGCACAATAAGGACAGTACACCAAGAGATGGTTTCACCGGGTTTTTATTTTTTTATTTTAGGAGTACAGGAAAAAGCCAAGATCGCCATCTGAAAACTAAACGTTGCGCCCCAAAGAAAATCCAAACATACGTGGAAAGAAAGATAGGAACGAAACTTAGAATCCCGATCAATGCTACATGATGACATGGCCTCTTAAACATACCACATGGCATGCTTAATGGTATCATGGAGGGGCCTGATCTCAGCCACATCGGCTGGGTCCCTCTTCTCACCGGAAGTGGAGGTCATGACTGTATTGCCTTCATCGGTAACTTCATGGGCACGAGCCCGGGAAGACGCCAGATGGGCGTAATAGACAGCCGGGACTAGGAGATTGTGAATAATAGTCTCGAAGACAAAAAAAGGAGGAGAGGATTTGACATACTCAACGACACGGAGTTACTGGCACGAATGTACGTGTAGCAAGAATTGTATACCAATGCTTGGAACATATCAACCGGCATGTTGTTTTCATCATGGATGACATGATAATGAACCGGGCGCGCAGTCCCTTGGATGGCATTGTGAGCCGCCAGATCTACTATACATTAGCAAAAGTGCGCCCTTAAAAGGCAACAGTGACACAGGAGAACCCACAGAAATCATATTCTGTTGGATGGGTAACATCGCGTTCAATAATCGTCCCTGGGAGACAATTGCCGTTCCTATCTTGCGCGTTGCGGTCGACTGGGAAAAAGCGTGTGTGATGACGTTTAGAGCAAATCGTGACGGTAATTTTGGGGTTATAATCGGCCTGCAAAATCTTGCATGCCTCCCTCATATCGCGCAATTCCTCGTCAATAATCTGTTGGTACTGGCCCTCACTAACGCCATCGCGGAAGTAGAAGATACGCATAGGTATCTTAGTGGTCTCCTGCCTAAAGGCGCGCAAAAGGGTACACATGAACTTGACCATATTCGGGGTGGTGATGCACTCAGTGCGAAGGCCATTAGTGTTGCAAATAGCCGCGAAACGACTCCCTTGCACTAAACCACAAAGAGCGATTAGATAAAACGTACCAAGATACTTTCCAAGCAATAGAGAGGAGCATACTATCGGTTGACCCAACCATAGACGCGAACGACGCCTTGGCAATCCCCGGGGCCGGGTGGGAAACATCAGCGCCCACAATGATACTCGCCTCCTTCCCAAAGAGAGGGTGATCGCTCTTGTCAAGAAAGCAAGTTGTGCCGCCAAGTTTAGCGTTAACCTTCATGCAAACATTAGAGCAATACTGTGGCTTTGCCTGACCCACATGTCTCGATTGAAGGCCTATTTCCAAAGGTGTTAGCGGAGCCGACAGAGAAGGGGGGACAACACACATTGAGAAACAACGCCAATATTGAGTTCACAGAACGCCTTAATCTCATTGTATGGCTGGGGCGATTTGGCACTCAGAACGAAAAACAACATCTGGGGCTTGGCCTGGACTTGATTCCCAGCCTTCTTGTAAAGCTCAAAAATGTTAGTCCCGATGGACTTCTTCGGGTCCGCGTACATGATTATCGGCTCCTTGTTTTGAACTTGCCCACCATGGCCGATGTAGACCGAGATCAGCTGCCGGATAAAGTTTTTCACTGTGAGCTCATCGCAAATCCTCTGGGGTGCGAAGATCATGAAACCCCAACCCTTTAGTTGGGCGCCAATTTTGGCAAACTTCTTCCCGCGAAGGTCCCACTTGCCGTCACGTGGAGTAAACACACGATCGGTCGAACCGTCACCGTAGCAAATCTTAGGAGCGCCCAAAATACGACCCTTGGACTAAGGCTAAGTCAGAATAACGGCTTCGAGAAATGCGAGTGAGATTTAGACAAACCTTGATCATATTGGTATCAATTTCCATACCGTATTTTGCAAGAACAGGATCTTTGTTCCAATTCAACTGGGCCACATTGGACTTTATCTGTTCCATGCGAATAGTCGGGCGCTATACCAGGAATGTCAGCACGATGACCGTTCAAAGTAGAGTGATCCCTGGATAAAGTACCTGAACAGTAAATTTGATCATCTCTGCAGTTTGACGCTCATCAAGTTTAAACGGATAACGTTGGCCCTAGAGGTGGCGTTAATCCGGGTCGGCAAAATCCAACTCGCCACAGATAAAAGGAACCCTACCTCCTGAATGTGGCACAATTCCATTGGAAACACTTCGCCCTTCTTCCGGGTCTTGACCAAGGGAAGCTGGGGATACCTCAGCCTCAAATTGTACTGCCTCACAAAGTAATCATTAGCAGTAATGCGTTCGGTGGTAACGCCTCCATCAGCATTATGACGCTTCAGATCAAATGTGTAGTCAACCGCACTCTGATCAAATCCCTCGATGGTATAAACCTTCTTGCGGACTTCGGTATCGCGCTTACGATGGGTGCAGAAGAAAGAGACCCGCTTGAGACGGCGCAAATCGCGGGATGTCGGGCCTTTACCTTGCTCCTTAACAATCCTCGATTGAAGATCCTCAGGAGAGCCTATTATAAAAAAGTATTAGTATCGATCAAAATTGGCACAAATCAAAAGAGCGGGATGCTACCATTCAGAGTCATACGGCATGCAATGTCCAACACGGTGCCTTGACTCCAAAATACAGTCGTTGCAACATCGACGTTGATAGTAAGGCGGCCACCTTGGGTCGCACGCACAGACTGAAAAATCCCTTTCCACGCTTCGACACCGCGTTCCATCGGGGACCTCCCAGACGACTGGAAGAAGGAACGCTTAATTGTGATAAAATGTTTGCTAGGAGTCTCCCGCATGAGATGGTCAAGAAAGTTAATGCCGACAAGGACCTCATTGTCCATACGATAATCTCCCTTAACGAAGGCCTCAACGACCTGAAGTGGGACCCTGCCTGATTTTTGAATAACGACACGATGTTTGTTATCCCTAGGGGGTCTGCCACCTCGTCCCTCTGGGGGGCCATCGCCTGGAAGGAAAAAAGAATAATCAGCGGTTGACCACAAAGGGAAAATGGAGATTCGGACAAATTTACCTTCATCAAGGTCGATAGTAGTAACAAGACGGTCTCCAAATGGAAACAATGTCACGGACCAAGCCAATTTATTGCCTACATGTGGGTTAGCAAACCACCTTACATGTGAATCATCGGGGAGAGTTCCCCACCATCAAACAATACAGTATTCTTCGCGGAACCAAACTGCGATTGCAGTTTATCCGAGAACCAAATTTTCTTGATCAATGCCCGCTTTTCACTACCAGAACCAATTGTGACCTAGCCCAAACTTAACACCTCTAAAAGCTAAAAAATAAAACAAGAGAGCAGATACAATGGCCAACTTACATCATACTGGTTGATGGCGAGAGTGGGGAACTTCGAGACGGCATAGGAGTTCACGGCGATAAGTGCTGGTCTCCCCTTGGTGCCAAAGGCGGGGCGTTTCGGAAGGTCCTGTTACAGGTGGTTAGGAGGGGCAATAATAAAAATAAAATGAGGGAAAGTCAAACGGATGAAAACTTACACCTTCCGTATGAGTAGCCATTGGGTTGTTCTTTTTTTGTTTTGCTCTTCGGCTGTTAGTTTGAGGACTGGTTGATGAAATGATGCGGGAGAAGTGAATATTTTAAAGTCAAGGCGACAAACAAGGCAGTTGACAACAGCAATAATGGGTAAAAAGCAACGAAAGGGCAGTGGAAACAGAGAACGATTAAGAAAGAATTGGATGAAGGGAGGAGACTAACTCACTTGTATGAGTAAAGTTTGTGTGTGCGGAAGAGGTTGAGTGACGAAGGATGGAGGTGTTATGAAGATGTGGGGAGAGAGGGAGAGAGAGGGAGAGTTGATATGGAGAGGGGAAGGAGGGAAGGGAGGGAAGAAGAGAGGAAGGGAGGAAGAGAGGAAGGGAAGGGAAGGGAGGAAGGAAGGGGGAGGGAGGGGGGGAAGGGAAGGGAAGGAGGGGAGGAAGGGAGGGAGGGGAGGAAGGGAAGGGAAGGGAGGAAGGGAAGGGAGGAGGGAAGGGAGGGGAGGGAAGGGAGAGAGGAAGGAAAGGGTTGTGTGGGTGGGCGTGGATGGTGGGTCCTTGGGTTTACCACTCCACTGTGACGCGTAAGTGGGCAAGCGTGATCGCGGGTCAAAGGGCAGGAAGAGGTCAAACCTATACTCTGTTTGCGGTGACGATAGCAGAATTGACGGTAGAGAGAGGGCAAATGGGTAAGGGGATGCAATTCGTGATGTTTCTCTTCAGGGAACAAACGTGCCGGCACTGTACCGGTAGGACGTTAAGTACAGTGCAGAAAAGTGAAAGGGCGGATACTGGCCCGAAAGCTTGGTTGCTGACAAGCCCCACATTTCATTACTTGAACACACTCGCTTCCGCTGCCAATTGGAGCTCGTCGGACACCTGCCTCAAACAGCTAGCGCTCTCAGCCATGCTGGGAGAGAAAAAAGGTGCGTCGATCATACAATCTAAACGGTATGGCGCGGGCTGTCACAAGCTACCCGTACCGTGATCCTTCACGAAGCCTTAGATTATCTGATAAACTTTCCTAGAACTTCACAAGCATAGTGCCCTATCCTCGAAACGCCCCTGGTTTCACAACGGACCACTATGGCGTTGGCCATTGTGCAAAACTACCTGTTGTGTGCCATCTAAGCAGGCTGGCACCACCGCCACTTTCCTGGACGAGATGAGACTGGAACAGCTTTTTCAATACAAAAGATCCGCGCTTTTCAGGCATTGGTGGGCTGTACTTGGGTGAGGGCATTTCCAGAATCTACCAACTTAGAATGTACCACGATACTCCAATACCGGTACTGAGAAGCTATTGACATTCACATTAGCCCTCAATCAAATTTCATTCTCTCCTTTTTGGAAACCCGCAGACACTCACAACTTGCTTGTGACCCCCCCCCCCCCCGGCCCCCACCCAAGGACTCTTTCCCCTCACAATTGTACAACATGATGAGCCCATGTGATGCCGCAGATATTGTAGCTAGTCGAGAGAGACTAATATTGGTATTTACCCACACTGTTACGATTAGGGAAGCCATCCAATTGACTCCGATGAGCCTCATTGGGGTGAGGCGGAAGGTGAAAGTATGATACATCATCGCCGAACCCAACCTTAGGGACCTCAACTGTTGAACGGTTTAGGTTCGGCATCCCGCCATAGTTTGGTGAGATTACGCGAGTTTCCCACCCAAGCCGTTGCGATTATTATATTGCTCCTGTTAGCGAGCGGAAGGGGAGGGTACGATATCATACGTGAGGATCGCTATATCCTTGAAACCAAGAATGGTCAACAAGTTCCGCATCAGCTATGATATAACAAGTTGTGTGTGGGCAGCCCAGAAAGCCAAGAAGGGGACTCTCGTTGGGCCAACCGACCCATCGATAATAGGCACTTTTCTCATTCTGCCGCGGGAGGGGTGTCTGGAAGGCCTAAACTTTCGTCACCACTTTCCCTCCCACAGATGCAGAATCAGGCCCCTAACACCTTAAGCCGAGTGACGCACGATGAACACAATTCAACCCGACGATGGTGGGGCCCTACAAGACCAGCAAGGACTCACTGGTAATACCGATATCGTACCGGCATCATATAAATTACTTGTAGGAAACTACCTCGCTATATATCAAGAGAAGCATGATCCTGCAAGACCACCCCCACAAGTGTCATATCCATTACCCCCCCCCCTTCCACACGTCACTCTGATCAATGGCCAGTCGGCAGACACCTTGATAACAAAACATGATATGTGGTAATCATAATGCAATGGGTTCGTGCATCGACTTTTAGGCCGCCGACGATGGTTACACCCAGAAATTGCCACAACTGACAATGCTCAACGGAATATATTGAGCATGAACTGAGAAGATTCTCATTTGCCCGTATTTCCATGGGGCCCCTGGGGCATACTCGTATTCTGCGTCTCAGAGCATGTCTTGCCTGATGAGGTTGTCCGCATTCTGCCTCCAGCTATTGGAAGAAGCCAAGAAGGAGTTAAGAGAATGAAAACGCAAGAAGGTATGCGTTGCGAGAGGAGATCTTGGCACAGAACGAGATCTTCGTAACTCTAGGGACTTTTTTTTTTCTTCTTCTTCCATTATCCAGGCCTCTTGGAAGAATTAGGCCGACAGCCCTTCCCCACATGAATGCATCATTACCGGTACTATTGTGGTCTATGGTGTTTGTCCCGGGCAGTTTGGTTTGGCGGGCGAGTATTCCGGCAGATATTATTAATTAGTCTCATACCCGAGGTGGCATGGGACCTGGCCTGATGGGAGCGTAATTGGTAAGATCTTTTCTTTGATAGAGAAAGGAGCGAGAGGGTTGGGGGATGTGTGCGGAAGGAGCGCAGTGCTGATTCCTGCGAGTTTGCGATCAAACATAAAGCCCGTGGCTTCGTCCGCCACTTGTGACCTGATGTTATTGGTGCTACGCCACGTTTCCTAGGGAAGAAATTACTTCTCCCCTACTAAACTCAACTTGGCAAACCTTTACAGGGGCCAAATCTGAGGAGGGCCACTCCAATTTAGAATGCCCGTTATACCAATAAAACAGAATATGCCAAAGTGAAGGGATGGTTATCGGATTATGAGGGTTTGATAACTAGGCCTTGGGATATCCGCTATACAAACAAAGTCCACCAATACTCTGCGAAGTTCCCCAGCTATAAACTCATCTCCCGTTCTTTGCATGGAAAAGTAAAGCCCTTGTGAATAGAAAGAGGGAATACCTGCCAAGTTCCTGAATGTAGTAAGATACCGGTGTGTTCCAAAAAAAATTCGGGAAAACACTTATCCTTCTCAAGAGCTTTTGACTCAGAATCCAAAGATTTCAGGGCTAAGGGGGATAGTGGATCCAAGTTTCAGGAGTTTTTACAGTACCAGCACTGTTCTAATATTGTGGGCAACATAGGTAATTTACCGCAAAATAAACCTACTTCACCTTACGAGCATAGTATCATAGAAAACATAGTGGAAAAGTTGTGGCGAAAAGGTTTTAGCGGCAGCCAAAATATTTTAGAGGCAGGGGGAATCCATTGGAAGGGGAGGAGTTAACATGCATGGTACATTGGCCAATGGCTACATAAGAGGAGGGGACCTCGCCCTTCACCCCCGATCAACCAGAGAGCCCCATGCAGGACCAAGACAGCAAAAATGTCCCAGCTAAGCCTACTCAAGGTATTGTCACAGTTACACTCTCCAACGGTCTACGTAAGGGTGGGAGCCCCCTGACTTCACAAGCATCTTACAAGTACCACAATCTCGGGATCCGACAAAGGTCCCGCCACTGGTGATGCCATAGTTGACCTCTCAATCGTGTGGCTCCACTAACTCCCACCTTGAAGTCAGCTGACCTTACGGATCGACACCCCACCAGAGACTCCGAGCAGGGTATCCAGGCTGGTAGAAGATAACTTTGCTCAGGCGACCGATGCAGGTAATCAAATCAGCACCAGCAAGTTATCAGTATCTATTAACAATTGGTTAGGACATTGGTAAAAGGCGGGCCGAAATAAGAAGCGATTTATCCCTTAGTCGCTCTGAAACAGTCAAATCCGTCGCCAGGTACAGTAATCAAAACAACACTAGTATCCGGCACTATATGCCAGGAAGCACCCCAGCCCAGGGTCTCTATCCTAGCCAGGCATACTTCCTCCAGATAAGTCAGCAGTTAGCTATTTCGGGTTATAAATATTGGATTTCCGTTCAAGCGACTCAGCATCGTAGGGGAGGAACATTGATTTTCTAACGGATCACAACACCCGGAATCCCCCAAAACATGATTTAGTGCGCCCGGCTACGAATTCGACTGTTTCAGAGCGACCAAAAGACTGCAAGACCCAGAGTAATCTGGGCGCTTTGAAATGGCAAATTAGCGTTTCGCCTGCCACAGCTGCCTGGGCAGAGGGCAACGTAAGTGATTCAGAAAATGCTTCCTGATCATTTACGCTAACTGGTGCTCGCTTGCTATCATAGCAGAGCTTTACAGATCTTCACATGGCTCCTGACACAACACCCATCGAGGGTCCAGGGGCTGGAGGACCTGGTACGCGAGGGAGTTGGGAAAAACGAGGAACACAGAAACACAGAAGGACGGACAAGCTGCTCGAAGAGAAGCTTGAAAGGCGAGTACAGGAAACCCTTCGGAGAAATGACTTGAAGGCCCGCATCAGAGGACCCGAGAAATGATTTAGGCCCTGTTTGGCATGCAAGAGAAAATGGCACTCTTCCGACTATAGCTCGACTTACAAGCCACCCTCAAGAATTCAGTTTGATCACAATGCTCAGAAAAGCAGATGCTATCCGGATATGCATTCTTTTATACTCTTTGGTTGGAGGAATTTGACCTTTAGCAAAAATTGAGTTTCTCTCGCCTCTTTTCCTTTCGGTAATGGAATATGGAATTCACTATTGATTGCCTCCCATGCATCTAATAGCTCCTAAAACTGCTTTATTCACGAACCCCCATGCAAGTGGATACTGAGGATAGCCACCCATAATACTTTCAAGCAAGGCAGAGGAAAACTCCCATCACAACTATAGACCACAATTCAAATACAGTAATCCTTAGAAACTAGCATCACCGTGTCGGCAAGAGTTTCCGTCCTCTTCCAAGAACCACTAGCCCTTGAGAACACTTTTCTAGCCCTCGCTCTCCATCATTCGATAAGAACCAAATTGTAATCAACATTTACAGTGTCCCTGGAGCCATACCCGAGAGCTGTTATCTAAAAGCCTCTTGTTCTATGGTCGATGGGCAGGGTGAGGTGCTGAATATAGACGAAGGCGTAGTTTGCACTCTTGAAAGCTGTCAAATGCGCGAACAAATGAGAGATAGCAACGTGCCTGTGTGGTGCAGTTGTTGAAGACATGCCCATACGGCAGCGTACCGGTAAGCGTTGGTGCCCGAGTCGTAGACTAGAGGACCGGTAACCGTGCACCGTATCACCACTCCCCCTCATTACCATAGCTTGACGGTACATACCGGAGCACCGCACCGGATGTTTCGGATTGGTCGTGGGCTGACGCGTAAAGTGAATCGAGGAAGACGCGAACCGTCGCGCGACTCAGAATTACCCTGGCGGCACGGGGGCGTCATACCGGTACTTTGTGCGGGTATCATATTATGATACTATGATAGTACGGCACTCGTACTTGGAAAGGATGGTGTGGTTGCCATGCGGCACCTGGCACCATGCTAAGCCTTTCTTCCCCGCCCGGCGGCTATCTCGTCAGTTGCTCTGCACTGCCCGTACCCCTCTTCTCTACCCTTACTCCTACATACATCCTTCGTTCCTGATCACAAACCTGCAATACCATTTCTTAAAAATAAAAAGGGAAAACTAGGACAAGAGCAAACAATTCCTGAGTGAAGACGGAGAGGAGGAGAGGAACAAGAAGGGAAACGCGGATAGCGGAAGGAGGAAGTAAGGGGAGAGCCAAGCGAAATTGTCCAATCAACTGACCGATCCCTTAGTCGCTGGCTCATCGAAGCTTGTCTCTTGCCTGATCTGGGCTTCCCTACGCCATACCCTCCCATTTCTTGTTGTGCATAAAAACAACAGAAAAACACCCCCACTAAACATCAAAATAGCAAACATTGCAGATGGCAGACGAGAAACCCCCCCCTTATTCCCCACCTGCGAGCAGCAAGAGCAGCCTTACCTCCAGACCCAGCACTGGGAGTCTGAGAGCTGCTCACCCTCCCTCCCCACGTTCATCCTCTCGACATCCTTCTGTGTCTTCACAGCAGTCAATGGCCGATATCCTCTCTAGCCCTCCAAAGCATGAGGGTGTACCACCACGGGACTGGAGAACTGTCAAGGTGGGTGAACTGCTCAGCAATAGGGAACTCTTGTTCGTGGATCTTGACACCCCGGTCGAGTCGGCATGTCAGGTAGGCCCCCCCCTCCTCCCCCGGTTTCTACCCCATGGTTCCGATATTGCGCGCCGGATATTTGGACGTATCTGCGTGCCCTCGTCTGATCTATGGAATGCGAGAAACCTCGTCAAAAATGTTCTGCTCACCCGCTGTGCTTAGACCCTTATCGACAACGAACTTTCGTCGCTTCCAATCAGATCGTCTCCCAACGCGGAGTCCGTATGCGGGACTTTTGACTATAGCGATCTGACAGCATTTCTCCTCTTAATAATGGGGCTATACCAACCCGATGAGGATGAGGATATGTCGTCTTTTGAAGAGTTGGCGAGGAAAGCTCGAGCGGGGTCCACTATCCCCGTAAAACTTGTCAAGGATCTTGGGAAAAAGGATCCGTTCATCACTGTTCCAGAGACGGAGGGCCTTGCCAAAATTGTCGAGGTGTTCGGAAGTGGAGTTCATCGAATCGCGGTTGTCCGTGAAGGAACAAATCAGGTTATCGGGATGATTAGCCAGCTGCGTCTAATATCCTTCTTCTGGGAACACGGCAGGAGTTTCCCTACCATAGATCAGCTCTACCCTCGTTCCCTACGCGATTTGAATATAGGCTCCGGAGAAGTCATCTCAATCAAGTATGTATTCGGCGAACGGGATCGTCTCCGAAATTGATTCCGTAGCTTAGGATACATCGAAGCTAACGTAATCGTAGCGGGGACAAAAAAGTCCTCGATGCACTCGAATTGATGAATTCCGAGGGTGTTTCCTCACTGGCTGTTGTAGACAATCAACACAATGTGGTCGGAAATATTTCGACTTGGGATGTTAAAGTAAGCTTGTTCCTTCGTTTGTATCATTGGCATTCGACTCCCACCCTGCAAACGCGAAGCTAAATCTCTTTACATAGTATCTCACAAGATCAAGCTCAATGCCTCTATTGAAATCCTCGTGCTTGCACTTTTTGTCCGTTATTCTGACAGACAGAGGGTTAAGTGATGGCAAAGACTCATACCCAGTATTCCACGTGAATGCTCAGTCAACCCTCGCGCACACGGTAGCCAAGATTGTAGCGACACAGGCACATAGGTGAGTAGGCCCCTCTGGGGATACCATCACTCTACGCTGTTCTGACATCGAATTTGTTTGTAGAATGTGGATTGTCGAAACCCCTAGCCCAGCCTCTACCGCTCCACCAACGCCCACTATACCACCAGCAGTTGCGGTACCACCACTATCTGTGCTTTCCCCGCTTCCTTCCCCTTGCACCTTCCCGATCACGGCACCACCCACCCTTACTGCCGGGACTCTTCCTGGGGCACATCTTAGCGGCAGGTTGATGGGGGTGGTGTCTCTGACAGATATTCTTAATATATTTGCCAGGAGCGCTGGTTTGACCCCGGTGGATCCTAACGAAGCCAGGAGGCAGAGACGCAGAAGTTCCTCCAGCTCCATGAGAGCTAGCTTTGACCAGGGTAGCCGAAGCTCGCTTGATTTGCGTGAGCTTCGCGAATCATCGAGGTCTTCGTTTGAAATTCGCAGATGAGCTTTGAATTTTACCCACTCCGTATGGTTTATGAGAGGGTATATCTATCACTGATGGAGTTCGTGCGTTTCTTCCTTATGCCTCATTTTCCGTTGGAAGCGGTTCGTTTGTATTATATACACTTGATGCGAGTTTTTTTATTCGTTCTCCGCGCGCAACGTATCAATTTTCAATTTTTCAGTCTTCACTTTCCTCCATTCATTAACGCTCAGTTACCCTTGGATAGGAACCGGGAGCAGATCACCAGCAGGGCAAGAGGGTGATGCGGATGGGCAGGTGGGGCTCCCAAGCCAATTTCAGATGAAGCGGTGGTGGGGGGGGTTTTTTTATATATATTTTTTCCGGGGCGGATCAAATTCTGCTTAAGCCCGCCGCCGAGAAATTTCCTCGACTCGTCATGTATTTCCTCCAGAAACCTTTGAAATAAATAGAAATACATGGTCATCTGGGCGAAGGAAAGAGAGCCAGGTATCATAATATTATCATAAATAGCTTTTTCCCACCGGCGGGGGGGGTGGAACTATTATAGGATGGTGCCAAGATATTTTGAACTCCCTCTTGCTTCTGAACGACCAACCTCACACCATCAAGCCGCACCATGATCCTCAGGAAACTGGTCTTACGGCAGAGTATGTCTACCTTACCCAGCATGAAATAATCTTACCGAACTCGCTGAGATACGGGGAGTTTACTGACGGTATCTCCGAATTGCAGGCCGATTGACTTCGCTTTCCGGAGCCGCAAGACACTTCGCCAGAACAATCACCTCCGAGCAGAATCAGAATGGCAGCACCGGCACTGGACCGGAAGGGCTCAGTAGCCCCCAATCCCCCAATCCAAATCGATCCGATACCACCAATTCAGCCGATGGTGACCAATCGGGGGGGGAGGGACAAAGTCAAGCCTTCACAAGATCTCAAGAATACGAGAACTTTAAACAATTTCGTACATCTCCCCCTCCCACCACCACCACCGCCACCACCACCACACGCTAACGCGCATCTTCTAGAAAACACCGTAGGGAAACTCGGCGCCATACCCGGCCGCGTCTACAAACCGCACATCGCCGTTAACCACCCTCCCGGACCGCGGGATATAACCCTTGAACTCCTCATGGCTTCGGGCGCGCACCTTGGCCACCTGACCTCGCTCTGGAACCCGAGCAACGCGCGCTACATCCACGGCATCCGCGACAACATCCACATAATATCGCTGGAGACCATAGCGGCGCACCTTCGGCGGGCGGCCAAGGTCGTCGAGGGGGTCGCGCGCGCCGGCGGGTCCATAGTCTTCGTGGGGACCCGCGAAGGTCAGGACCGCTGCGTCATAAAGGCCGCGAAGATGTGCGGCGGGGCGCACGTCTTCGATTGGTGGATCGCGGGGACTATCACCAATGCTCACAACCTGCTGCGGAGGAAGAAGATTGTCGAGCGGGATATGGCGGATCGCATCGTCTCGCCGAAGCCCATTGATGATGGTAGGGTCGTTGTGCCGGACCTTGTGGTCGTGCTGAATCCCATGGAGAATTCGGTTGCCCTGCATGAGTGTGCGCTTGCTGGGGTGCCGACCATTGGGATTGTGGATACGGATATGGATCCGCTTAGGGTTACCTATCCGATCCCTTGCAATGATGATAGTTTGAGGGCCGTCCAGCTCATCGCCGGCGTACTCGGCCGGGCCGGTGAGGCGGGGAGGTTGGCGAGGATTAAGGAGGCGGAGTTGGAGACTGTGCGGGTCAGACCTGAGGATGAGCAGCGGCCGGCAGAATATGAATATGACAATTAGATGGTGGATGGATGGATGGAGGGAGGGAGGGACAGATGCATTCGCAGGCCGTTGGGTAAATACAAAACTCTCTCTATCTGTATATACAATTTTGCTCTGTACTGTATTCTAAAGTTGAAGCAAAATAAAAATAAAAAATAAAAATAGGCCCTCCATAGACCGTGTTCCCGGGGGAATTTGTGGAACGAACCAAAGAGGAAAAGAAGTGCTGGGCATCGCATCGTAAGGGGAACGGGAAGTAAGAGGAAGGAAAGAGCCCCAAGCCACAGACAAGGGTGTATCGCACAGTATCAATCATAGGTTCTCTACAGCTCAAACCGCTAAAAGAAACCGTCTACCTTCCCACGTGTAAAGTAAACATGAAATATATCTCGGGAATGAAATGGGAAACTACTCTAGTGAATTAATCTCATGACAGTTTCGACCCTAGTAGATTCCTCATTAGCCACCACACACGCCAGAGACAACCGTCATAGAAAACCAGAGTAGTAGGACAGAGAAAGCATACACAAAGAACGTCCCCGCGGACACCGGCATGGCCCTCAATAGAGTCGGCCCTAGACCTTTCCAGAACCCCATGAAGCCTTCCTTAGCATAGGTCTTCGCAAAGCAATCCCTCATGTTCTTATAGACACGATCGCTTCCGATCCTGTCCGTCTGCATCCTACTTTTGACGACGTCGAGAGGGTATGAGGCGAGCCAGAGCGCCTCCCCAGCAAGACCTCCGTAGAGTGCGATTTTCCACGACGGGATGTCGGAGCGGGGCTTGTTGCGGGATTCCATCTTCATGAGGTATTCGAATGTCAGGAACCATACCCCGTAGGCCTGAGCTTCTCGAAGGATTGTGACAGCTTCGCCGCGGTAGAGACCGTTCGCTACGCCGCCGGTTTTGAGAAGCTTACGGACACAGTCTGCCGGGCCATTGTAGAGGCGGGCGGTGCCATGGGGTTGGGTTTGGAGGCGGATACGCACGTGCTCTATTGGGCCAGAGATTACACCTGGAGGAGGAGGGGGTTTTAGTATCCGCTTGGGGAGGGAGCGGGGGGAGAGGGAGAGGGAGAGTACTGTTTGCAACCCCAGCAGCAGCACCAGCAAGGTAGTATTGTCCATACGTGAGGTCAGCCCTCCCGGGGTGTTTCCGAGCATTGTAGGCAGCAATCCTACGGCGGGCGTCGTGGAATGCGCCGAATTGGATGCTGACGCAGGCTCCTATCCCGATCAATGGAGTCAAGGTTCCCTATCGCAGCATCGTTATTAGCTTATATTAGGAGAATGTAGGAAGACGGTAAGAACCTTGTAAAACGCCAAAGCCCCCTCATTCTTGTAAATCTTCGTCGCAGCATCCAGAGCGCCAGCATATTGTGAAGAAGTCTGCAACCTAACCTTAAGAATATCTAAAAACAAGAGTTAGCGGCCCCCATCCTCCCAAGCCTTCTCACCAGCACCAGCACCAGCACTCTGCGTCGAGGTAATAAGAGTCTTACCAAAAGGTTGTCCTGCAAACAAACAGACTCATTAGCTACCGCCCAACAGCCCCAATCCAACCTATAAACACCCCATGGGCCTCGAAAGCAAGCAAGCAAACAAACCTGTAAGCACCTGCGCGACCCCTCCAACCGCCCCGGCGAACAGGTCTTTAAGAGTCCTGGTCAAACTCCCTTGGTCACTTCCAGTCATTTCGAAGATTTCCCGTCCCTGCCGCACGAGCTCAAGTACCGTAACTTAATAGCTGTTTGAAGGAATAAGGAAAGTGGGGAAACCAGGCAATTGAGACCGTGCTAAGCAAGCCGGGAAGGTGAAGAGGGAGAGAGAGGGCGAAGGGTGGGGGGGGGAGGAGGGGTTTGGTACGTTTAACTGTGTTGGGGACCCGGGTGTGTTTATTCGCAGCTCTCTCTCTCTCTCTTTGATAATTAGACTAAGATGCGCGGTTTGCATATATAAATACTCGTATAGGGAGGCTATCATACCTCGGGATGCCCAGCCGATAACGTGATGTTGCGCAATTACAAGTATGATACTAGGCAGGAACCCTAACCCTACTTTGGCGGAAATACTGGCACTTTACCGGTATGAGACTGCCGAAAGAGGATTTCGGGAGAGACTTTCGGGTGCTCCGTCGCCGTAGGGGTATCATACATTCCGGCAAGCGGTCAACCGATAGTAGTGCCGGTAGTACTGTACTCGAGTACAGTGCAGTATCCTTGTTGTATTTTCCCTAGCTGCCAGGAGCCCTAGCAGTATTTTCTGAAATCCGAACCTGAGAATTTGGACTCAAAATCGGGTTCCCACACGTGTTCGAATAATATAGGTTATACCGTAAATTTACGGCGAATCACTCCTCCTACAGCATCTCACACAATTGACGCGGTGCGAGTACCTCAAACCGCAGCTGCAAGGTACTCGTACAACGCTGGCAAACGGCATTTGGCGCCAAAGCTCTGGATGCACGATAACTACCGGTGGGGAGCTCCCGTCTGAGATCCAAGCCCGAGCTCGCTGTGTAATCCGCGGGCAGACCGTCATTGACCCCGAGGCTTCTCCTATCATACCGGTAACATCCCCCTTCGCCAACCCCCTTTATCCATCCACCCCACCTCAATCATTTGCTCTGTCGTTCCAACACTTCAGCGCATATTCTTCGTGACTATCCATTACTGGCCCGGCCAGCGGCGTCCGGTGAGTTCACGATAAGTTGCCGTACGGTATTTGTACTGGTATCCTAGTGTGTCGTGTGATACCGTAGGTAAGACACAGGGTGAGAACCTTGTTACCGGTATCATCGGACGAGTGATAATCCATGAGTGAGCTCCAGATCACTCTCATGAAAATTTAAGGGCGTTTCGGCTTGTGAAAGAAATAGCATCTGGACACAAAGGCGCCTATGGTTCCACGAGCAAGGAATTGGATAGCCATCTACGCTGGCGTTCTCAGCCTTTCGTAACGTTTGGTCTGAACATGGGTTACGTGTCCAGGGCCTAAGTTACGATAGTTCCCGCGAAGCATGGTGTCGTGGGTTCGTTGGTTGTCACAGGTGAATCCCTTTTTTTCTCTCTTCCTCCCATTCCGAAGTCTTTGGAGAACGCCAGGTATGGTGTCACCTTCTAAACTTCATCCGAATGCATAACAAGAGAACCAATGCAACGTGGAGAGTTCGAGCCGGTGCTAGAAAGAGCCTTCTCTATCAAATGGATGTCTAAGATTATTCTACACAGGAAGATAATAAAAGCCCAATTCAAACCGCCAGTACCCCGCTTAACTCGTAAATCATATAATAAATAGGAAAAAAGAGAAAGGAAGAAAAAACAATCTCCGGAAGAGTTGAATGAGCATGCACTTCACATATACATCCAATAGAACAGAAGAAGTCTCATGATTGCGAAGGAAATTTGAAAAAGAAGAGACCTAACACCGCTAACATCGCCGAGGGGGGTAACTTAAAGAGTGTTTAGCTGTCAAAAGCTTACCCCGCTGGCCCCACCGCTCCCGAACCCCACTCCTGGCCACCCACATTTTCCTCTCTTAAAGCCTCAGCAGCTGTTCGGTCTTCTTAACCATGAGGTCCTCATCGGGGAAAGACAATTGCTCTATGGTATGTTAGTAAGAGTTCTCAAAACGATCGGATGCGGGGAACTAACCAAGGCCAATTGCGTATGGAGTTGGGACCTCCGCGCCGGTGATTCTCTGGGCCGGGGCATCCAAGAAATCAAACATGTATTCCATGCTCAGGGCAAGTATCTCACTGGCAACCCCGAAGCTAGGGAAGCCGCTCTCAATAGCGATCAGATGATTGGTTTTCTTGACCGATTTTGCGATGGTTTCGACATCAAGAGGCTTGATGGAACGGAGGTTGATAACTTCCGCCTCAACTCCATGTCTCTTCTTTAGAGTCTCTGCCGCTGTGAGGGCTTGCCCAACGCAGCGAGAGAGCGCCACTAGAGTGACATCTTTCCCCACTCGCTCGATCTTAGCCTTTCCGATCTATGAACGAAGGAAAATATTAGCACTAGAGCCTCTTGCCAAAGAGATTTGATTGGGACTAACGGGTAGAACAAAGTCAGACTTCTGGGCCTCCTCTGACATAGGGAAAGCCTGTCCATAAAGCAACCTAAAAACAAACTTAGTATTTCCCTCTACCCTAAAGACGAAATCCCCAAAGGGACCTACTCGTTCTCAAGGACCTACAAGACTGCCCGATTAGCACACCGCCCGTCAAAGTCGGGGGGTGGGAACCATACCACTATTGGGTTAGGGTCTCTGATGGCAGCCTTCAACAGACCCTTGGCATCTTCCGCGCTCCAGGGCGTAACTACCTTCAATCCCGGTATGCTGCCATACCAGGCAGAGTAATCCTATAGCTGCGTCAATTCTGCGCTCGCGTCTAGAAGTAGAGGCGGAGATTGTTGAATCACTTACCTGAGAATGCTGAGCCGCTACGCCAGCGGCAAATCCATTAGGTCCACGGAAAGTAATGCTGCAGGGCTGGATGCCTCCACTCATGTAATGTGTCTTAGCTCCCGAGTTAATAATCTGGTCAATTGCTTGCATCTGGTCTTGGTCAGTATCGGTTGGGGCGTCGGCAAAATTGGACGATAGGCATACGGCAAAATTCCAAGTCATGAACTCAACCACGGGGTTGAGGCCAGCGAGAGCGGCACCAACACCGAGGCCAGCGAAACCGTGCTCCGTGATTCTTCGGGCAAGGTTAGTATAACCCTCCAGATAATCAGGTCAGAAAACTAACGGCGAGTCGATAACTCTCTTCTCACCAAAGCGATCCAACAGCCCCTTGGTGACTTTATAAGCCCCGTTGTACTGAGCTACTTCTTCACCCATAATGAGGACTTTCTCGTCCCTCTCCAATTCCTCAGCTGGTGGAAGTCGTTAGTGGAGGCAACCCCAACACAATTCAGCAATTACGGGGAGCAACATACCAAGCGCTTCATTCAAAGCCTCTCTCACCGTGTAATCTTTCGCACCGCCATTGGAATAATTTTTTTGCTGTATCTTCAAAGATTGAAAAGCTGTTACTCGGGGTACGTTGACGACGGGCTTCCTGAGAGAACCCCCGGCGGCGCGGGAAAGGAGATTCCTAGCTGCAAACATGTTGGCGATGATTTGGGGGCAGCGGTAAAAGGAATCCCAGGTATCAAGTTGGAGAAGGGAGAAGGTGGAAGTGGAGGAGGGAGAAGAGGTTGTCGAGAGAGCAGATCGTTGGTGTCCATCCGGCACTCAACCTTTAAGAAAATTGGGGCCGGGTTCCCAGGAGCTGAATCAGCACATCACGTGAGTCTAGATTGCAGCTCCAGCACATCTCCGGGACCCGGTAAACGCAAGGGCAGGGTGAACATTCGGGTCCTGTCCGCCGCTTTGGCACAATGAGAATGTCTTTTTCTGGGTTTTATACGATTCTTGTTGCGAATGAAGTGCTTTAATATTAGGCACTGCTTTGTTATGACCCAACTTGCAAGCTTTCTGCCGGATTCCTGCCTTTGTCACGACTATCACTACGGGAGCTGCTACCCTGTGGATACGGCTTTTTTTCTGCGCACTTTGGCCGGGAGGATTCGGGCTTTAGCAAAGATCGAATTCGCCGGAGTAATGTCGTGTCTTGTACTCCGGAGTGCAAACAGGGCCTCTGCGCAAAATCCCACTTCCTGTGGGAGCGGAAGGAGTACAAGTACTGTACATGGCGGGAGTGTTCTGCGGGTGGAGCCTAAGGTACAATACTGCGTAGTGCCGGGTCGATAGTCCTCCCTTGTGTGGGTCTATAACTACACCCCTATGCGAAGCGCGGCCTTTACAGACACCGGTTCGATTATGGGTATCATATCATAAGTTACCAGTAGGATGATGGGGGTGGCAAAGCCACAGATACGGTAAGTTATGGTACTTGTATGGTATCATGTCCATGCCTGGAGTGCACCGCATGATCCCGAAGAATACACAAGTTACGATAGTATCATAATACCGGTATGTACGGGAGGCTTTAAAAGGAGAGAACTGTGAGCCCTAATTACACACGGAGCAATGGACTGTGCGTTCGTGCTGCCCAAAGTGTCACTTACCGTATCACTGGGTTTAAGGTGCTGGTGGTCGTGCCTTTTTGGTGAATGCCAAGAGCGTACCCTGACCAATATCTGGTCCCGCTTGTGTCAACCCCACTACGCCCCCTCTTGCCGTGGCCTCCCTTCGTCCATCCCCCTTATTCACATCCCACTTTTTTTCCCATCCACCATCCTACGTGCCAAAATCCCCTTCTTTTTCCTGAAGGAAAACACCAAAAAAAAACTCACTCTCCAGTTTCGCTCGATAGAATATCATGACACGCACTACCGATGTCAGCCCTGCCCCCCAGGAGGAAACGCCTGTTGAAACTCCTGCGGCCGCCACTGAGCCCACAACAACTGAAGAGAAGAAAGTTGAAGGTGAGAAGGAGGGCGAGAAGCAATCCATTTTCGGCTCTGGTGTCTCTGGGGGTGTTTTTTCGATGTTTGGCGGAGGATCCAAGCCAAAGAGAGAGGAGAGAGACGATGAGGAAGACGAGCCTAAGGAAAAGAAAGATGGCGATGTTTGTTCCCCGAAAGTCCATGGTTTGGGATCTATGCAATTTTACTAACATATTACAATGCATTAAGGAGGAGGCACCTGAGTCCCCCGAAGTCCACTTCGAGCCTGTTGTTTCTCTTGAAAAAGTGGAAGTTAAAAGCAACGAGGAGTCTGAGGAGGAAGTCTTCAAGATGTATGAACTCTTGTATAATTCCCCCTTTCAAAATGGCTCTTGCTAATTCAGTGTTCGCGTAAGGCGTGCCAAGCTCTTCAAGTTTGATAAAGATTCCCGCGAGTGGAAAGAGCGTGGAACTGGTGATGTCAAACTTCTTAAGCACACAGAGAACGGCAAGACCAGGCTTGTTATGCGAAGAGACAAGACTCACAAGGTTTGCGCCAACCACTACAGTAAGCCTCCGCACGCGCTATCTCGCACGTTTAATATGCTCATCCACTTCCCCCTAGTTGTCCCTGATATGAAGCTCTCCCCCAATGTCGGAAGTGACAGGAGTTGGGTATGGAACACATCTGCCGATGTCAGTGAGGGCGAACCTGAGGCCCAGACTCTTGCCATTCGCTTTGCCAACCCCGAAAGTAAGACGAGCATAGTCCCTAAGCTCCTAACACAAAGCTGACCGTTTCTACCCCACCTAGATGCCAATCTGTTTAAGAAGGCTTTTATCACTGCCCAGCAGGAGAACGAGGCTCTCATTGCTAAGGAATAAAGGGGCGGCACTTAATGAAATACGATTACTTTCTGCGGTGTTCTGGGAGGGGGACGAAGTCCATCAATGTTTCATGTGTTGTACCTAAGTTCTAAACTCCCGTCTTTTTGTTTCTCGGAATGAAGCTTAAATGTTGCATTTTTCCTCTTTCTTTTTTTCATAAGGTTGGCCAGCTTCCGGTCATATTCTTTTTTCTTTTCTAGTTACATCCCGCCCCTTAACCCTTTTGGGGGGGGGTGAGGTTTCTTCTCATGACTGGGGGACGGGGGACGTGATGGTGAAACGTGGGCTCATGCTGGTGGGTAGAGACAAACTTTGTTTTGCATTGTAGCGACCATTGAATGCCTTATGATAAAGTGAGCACGCGCGTACCTGAAAATGATATTTCATTCGTGTTTATATTTAATTTTGGGCATTTTTAGCTTCCCCCCCTCCGGTCCCATCATGGAGTTAGAATGCCTGTACCGTAGTCCACAACTGACCGAAAGCATGACTAGTCACTCGCCATTAATGTTTCTAATGTGTTGTGATATCGCCGGGGTTGTTAGGAACTTCCTGATAACCACATGCCAGAAGCATTCTAGACGAATGTGAGGAGATACAAGGAATGGTATGGATTGGAAAGAATGTAGTCGGTTGTTGGAATGAGGACGAGGAATGGTATGGATTGAAAGGAATGGGGTCACTTGGTGGACTCGGATATCTGGTCAGTTGGATTCTCTATAGTATATAGTGGTCATCTACTTCGGCGGTAGGAAGGTAGTGAATTAAGTTAAGAAAATACTTCACAATTCTTGTTCACTCAAAACGATCATATCCTTCCCCGCAGAAGTGCCCAATTGAATTCTCCTCTTACTCCATCTAAAATCTCTTTTCTACTTCATAATGCTTTCCATGTAGACGAGCTGGTTCCCCACCCACAATCTTGAAAGCCAATTGCTAAAATCCTACCATAACCCACCATAACCCACCATAACCCACCATAACCCCCCCCCCCTCTCCACCCACAACAGAAGGAAAATTTTATATAATGTGGCACCCACCAATCAAATCTATCCAATACAGTGCGGTACAAAACAACAGCGCCGAAACTATACCGGTATGATACTATCTACAGAGACAAAGAAAGGGGTGGGCAAAGAAAGAGAGAGGATATAACGACGATTATTGATGATGATGGCGGTGGTAGTCCGAGTAGAGGTGAGGACTCAGGCATGGCGAGTAAGTGTGATGAAAGGAGAGCGAAGGCGAAAAGAAAATGATGGTTGCAAAAAAACAAGAGGGGAAATAATATATAATAACATAACTCCTGATGCTCTATTCCCATTTTTATTCTTGCATGATATCCCCGAATCACCAACGGCCAGCCGACTGACTAAATTAATAACCTCGCCCTCACCGCTCAGATCTGGTGTTATCTCTGTTTTGAACCTTCCGCGTGTTGTTTTGTGTGGAAAATTCCGCTGGACCTGGTTAAGGTGAGGGAGGGAGGGAGTAGAAAGAAAAAATGTGGCAAACTCCGAAAATATAGAAAGGGAATACTTATTAAGGAAAATAGGGGAATACTAGATGGTCCTCGCCTCCTCAATGATTTCGTACGTCTGAATCGTGTCCCCGGGCTGGAAGTCTCCCCACCCCTTAAACCCAACTCCGCACTCACCCCCCTTTTTCACCTCCGTAGCCTCCTTGGTGAAAATCTTCATGGAGTCAAACTCACCATCATAGACGGTCTTCCCGTCCCTCAACACCCGGACCTTATCGTGCTTGTAGAGATTCCCGTTCTTCACCAAGGATCCCGCGACTTGCGTAGTCTTTCGTTTCTTCACGTTGATGGTGAAGATTTGGATGATCCCTGCTTCGGCCTTGACAGAGTACTTTATTAGTGGGGCGAGTTTTTCAGAGAGCTTCGCGGAGACCTCGTCCACTAGGCGGTAGATGACGTTGTGAGTCATTATGGTCACGCCTTTGTTTCGGGCGTATTGGATGATTTCGGGTTCGGCCGAGAGGTTGAAGCAAAGGACATAACCTGTCTATTATATTAGATTGTGTGGAAAGAGAGACGGAGGAGGGGTGAGAGAGGGAATCTCACCTTCGGCCGCAGCGGCGTGATCTATGTCGAATTCAGTCACGGCTCCAAAAGAGGACCTAATGACTCGTGCCCCAACTTCTTCGTTGCCTAGTGGCGAGACGGCTTCTACCACTGCCTCTACAGACCCGGCGACATCGCCCTTCACAATGAAGTTGACAACTTCGTACTTCCTCCGGCTCTCTGCTGCAAGTTTTTCACTGGCGGCGACGGCGGCGTCGGGATCTTGGTTATTAGCTAGGGCTTGTTCCCGAATCGCTTTCTCGGCTGCTTCCTTCTCGCGCTGTGCGCGCCGTTGGTTGTTGATAGCTTCCATGTCTGCGGCTTGTCGGAGACGTTGTGTCTTTTCCATGCGGAAGTTGACAGCTGTTTTTGCTCTATCCTGTGGATGACATGAGTAACTGGAAGTTTACCGGAGGTCTGGAAGACATACCTCAGAAACCGCCTGTATTACAGAGTCACCAGCCAACGGCTGGTCTCTCCATCCATCGACTGTAACAGGAGTTCCTGGAGTAGCAAATTCAATTCCAACGCCGTGCTCGTTGACCAAGCTCCGTACTCTGGCCCAAGTCTGTCCGGCGACTATAACATCGCCTGGCCTTAATGTCCCCCTGTTTACTAGGACCGTGGCAACCTTTCCTCTCTTCTCTGTCCCTGCCTCTAATACCCACCCTTCACACAGCCCCTCTGTTTCTGCCCTCATATCCAAAACTTCGCTCAACGTAAGGGTAGCCTCCTCGAGCTCCTCCATTCCTTGTCCCGTCTTTCCAGACACAAGCACAACCTGGGTATTGCCACCAATGTCTTCAATATCCACCCCACTCTCGGCGAGATCCCTCTTGACACCATCTATATCTGATCCCTCTTTGTCAATCTTGTTGATAGCCACGATCATGGGCACGTTTGCAGCCTTTGCGTGTTTGATTGCCTCTATAGTTTGGGGCTTGACCGAGTCGTCAGCCGCGACGACGAGAATCACGATGTCGGTAACATTGGCACCTCGTTCCCTCATGGAGAGGAACGCAGAGTGTCCAGGAGTGTCCAGAAAGGTAATGATCCTTCCTGAGGGCATTGTGACCGAGAAGGCACCGATGTGTTGGGTGATACCACCATGCTCAGTAGCGACAATCGACGATTTCCGCAACCAATCAAGAAGGGTTGTTTTCCCATGATCAACGTGTCCCATAATTGTAACAATTGGAGGGCGGGGTTGGAGAACGGATTTGTCCTTAGGTGGAGGGCTATAAAGTATCAGATGTGTCCAGAAAAACGGGATAACAAAACATACCGCGGGAGGAGATCCTTTTCCTTGCTGGTATCTGCTATCGGCTCATAACCATACTCCATAGCAATAAGTCCTGCAACTTCAGCGTTCATTACATGATCATAACTGACATCCTCAAAGCCCATATTTTGCATTTGAACTATAAAGTCATCCAACCTCATCTTCACCGCTCTTGCCAAGTTTGCGACGCTGATATATTCAGGGAGAAAAAGGGGGACCATAGCCGGCACCGCCTCAATCTGCTTTTGCCTCTTCTTTGCTTTCCTTGCCTTCTTTGCAGCTTTGCTGGTCAATGGTCTCTCGTCCTCTTCCAGGATAGCAGATTCCCCGTCATCAAATTCGCGCCCACGAGACTTCCCACGAGGCTTGGCTGACTGCCGCCCTTCGTATTCAAGCTCAACAGGAGTGAGCGGCTGGGTTCGGAGCCCTTCTGTCATATGGCCGGGTGCAAATCCCGATACCCCCGCCTCTCCCTCCTGAACATTCCGTTGTTCAATATTTCTTTCCTCGGTCTCAGTTAAGCCAGGTGGCTTAGTCCCGATTGGTACATAGGTAGATGATATCTCCTCTATCTGGTTCATCTTTTGAGTAGCTGAGAAATGCTCCGTACTTTCTGATACTTGCTGTGATTGGTCCCCGAATGTCCCGATGTCATCAGGCGCTTTGGGAGTATCAGTGCTACAGCTAAGTGATTCCCGACCAATCGCGATGGATTGCCCAAGCCCGCCATGGGCAGTTTTAACTGATGGTGGTCCACCCTTACCGGCTCCTATACTTGATCGAGGCTCGGCTTGATCGAGCTCACGTGTGTAATTGATCGATCCTTCTTGTTTCCTCAACTCCGGGCCACCTGATTGTGACCTACCCGGCGGAAATCCATTTGATACTCTAGGCCCGCTGTCACCCATAGTTCGGCCAGCCCAGGTTGTGCGAATAAGCGGTTTGTCTCTAGTTTGTTCCGTCCGCTGGTGTTCTCCTTTTGCTCCAAAAAGCCGCTGCGGTGGAGGGTCATTCCATTTTAGTCTTGAACCCAAAGAGCCAGACGATGTATTTGGGTTTCTATGTTCTGGGGTGTCGGATCTCGTTCTGAAACCGCCCAACGATCGAATAGGGCCCTGTGAAGGTGGAGGTCGTGTATCATGAGCACCGCCTTCCGCAGCAGCAGGCTTTGAGGGGGGACGAGTGTTCCATGAAGGCCTAGAGCCAAATTTATTATCCGGATTACTCATAGTTGTTGCTCGTCCAGTATTACTCCACGAAGAAGGCGGGCCATAGGAGCTCTGCTGGTTCCTCCGATACCGACTTATCGGTGCCGAGACTGCAGTAGGCCCAGCACGACCTGGAGCCCCCCCACTCGGCCATCCTGAGGGTGGCCCATTTCTCATCCCGTTGCCCGCTGAGCCATGCGCATTCGAAGGCGGTACGGTCCATTTTGTCTCAGATCCCCGAGTTGAATAAGCACCTACTTTCCGGAACGACTTAAATCTATCACCAGCAGTATAAGAGGACTCCTCACTATCCTCGGCCACAGCGGCAGAACCCGACGCGTCGCTCTCTGATGATTTCCGGGAAGAATGAAGGAGTCTCGTATATAATCGGCAGGAGTTTTTAGTTGCATCCAACAAAGACAATTGTAGACCAGAAGACTTTTTTGCACATTTTCGAAATTTCGTCTCATAATTAGCCTCACCGCTTAGATAGAACATGTGACAACTAAAAGGAACCATACCACTGAGCATCGTGAGGTTCTCAGCATATTTGCGGGGGAGACTTATCGTCGATAACGAAAGCGAGGAGCTGTCAGACGGTGAAAGTCCCCAATTAGTGTTTTCCCGGATCTACTACCGTAACGAATTTTTGGGTGCTTAGTCTTGTCGGCGCGCCACACCTTTATCAGTCCAAGATCTAACTAGCGAGGTGGCTAACAACTGAATTATTGCGCCCGTCTCGGCCCACTCACCCTTTATCAGATCTACGTTAGAGCAACCCCGATTCTAATCGCATCTAATCTAATCCAGACTAGCACGTGTATGGTGTTCGAGCCCCTATTGAAAATGGGGAACAAAGAGATTGTTAGGGCAGCCCATCACGGACCACCGCCGCTTCCAGCTGGCATTTTCCCCGCCTGTCAAGTATCAGGCTACGGTATACCGTGTTATACGAGGCTCCAATAAAAATTGGCTGCCGAGAGAAGCGTCGCAGACCAGAGCTCTCCTCCAGCGTACTTTTCACGAGGGAATATACGAAGCACTTCTCTGTGCATACCACACTGAGTCCGTAGCTATTTTTCTCCCGGCAAGACCGTTCTCAATTCTCCTTGCGTTCCCAGATTCACAAAGGACCACAAAGTACGCCTTCTGCGGGCAAGAATTGAGCAGGAAGCAAGCAGCAAGCAGCAAGCGCACCGCAAGACCAGCCAAAAAGCCCGGACTCGCCCACACGCACCCCATAATCTCAGATCTGCAGCAGCCGTGAGCAATATTCATCATGGCTGATCAAACTGCTACAGATCACCAACGAGTTATGCAACATCATCAACAGCAACTACAACACCAGCAAACTCGAGATTCCCTTTCTTCCTCACCGTCACGGCATTCCTCGACTGAGTCAATACTTGAAAACCCTGACGCTCAGGTCCTTCCACCTCCAAATCCAAACCCAGTCCTTCATCCCCGCTCAGTCTATCTACGGGACCATGTTTCCATTGCAACTGTGCACCCGGTTATGCACGCCTCACAGATTCCGGCCTCGCTGATAGCCTTCCTCTGGACCGAGCTCAATAACGAAATTGAGCGAGGTGACACCTATCCCATAGAAGAGCCGATGTCGTTAGAGAAATTCACCCGCTTTTGGTTCGGTACTTTCGGTGCTGTCATGTTGCTCGGTGGGAAAGAGGAGCAAACGGATCTTTCGGTAGAGCGAGATTGGAGCACACAGTGCCTTGGGACTTTTTACGTGAAGCCCAATTATCCTGGTGAGACTACGGAACTATCTATTAATGGAGAAGTCAGAAATACTGATCCTCACCAAGGCCGCAGTTCACACATCTGCAGTGCAGGGTTTCTAACAACATTCGCATCCCGAGGGAAAGGCTGTGGTAAGCATCTTGGAGAGGCTTATCTCGATTATGCTCCGAAGCTTGTGAGCAAAATCTGGACCCGAACCGACCACTCGAGAATCAAGCTTACTTTTTATCTAGGGATACACCTACTCAATTTTCAATCTCGTTTACGAGACCAACATCGCATCCTGCAAAATTTGGGACAGTTTGGGGTTTAAACGTATTGGAAAGGTGAAGGGAGCCGGCCGTCTTAGTTCATCGAACTACCTGGTTGATGCCATTATCTTTGGACGAGATCTTAACGACGATGAGGACTATGTCTCCGATGAACGTTTCGACAAGATCAGGTTCTACCTTGAAAAGGGCAAATATCCACCCACGGCAGACCGTTCCGAAAAGTCTCGACTTCGATCTGCGGCAACCCATTACAAACTCGAAAATGGTAAACTGATGCTCAAGGATAAAGAAGTGGTATCCGACGGCCAAATGCAGTACGAGATTGCGAGGTCAATTCACTGCCAGTCTCATGGTGGCATCAACAAGACTACTGCTAGTATCGCGGAGAAGTTTCATTGGGTTCGGATTAAGGAAACGGTTTCTCAGGTCATTCGTAACTGTGCCGAATGCAAGGAACATGCAAAGGCTCCTGTGGTCAAAGGAGATCGGTTCAATGGCTCCCCAGTCAATTCTACTCCACCACAGCCCCAGCAACAGCAGCAACAGCAACCCCAGCAGCCGGGGCAGCAGCGCCCGCGCCAGCAGCAGCAAGAGCAGCAGCAATTACCACTTTCACTCACACTACCGCAACAGCAACTCCAACAGCCCCAATTGCAGATCCCACCAAACACCCAGGCATTGCTCATCCAGCGCCAGCAGCAGCAACAGGCAGCAGCAGTCCGCGCCGCCGCCGCCGTCGCCGCCGCGCAGATGGACATTCCCGTCGACCCCGCAATGATGGAAGATGTCCAGCATACACACCACATTCCCCAGCAATTCGCCCCGGTTGCAAACATGCGCATGGACGCCGCCCCTCCTCCCTCCCACGGCCCCGACAACACAGCCACTGCCGCGGTCACCGTCAACGTCAACCAGACCATGGGCGGTACATCCGCCCAGGCTTCCCATCAACAGCGTGTCGCCGCGGTAGCCGCTGCGAGAGCTGCCCTCGGTGAAGGTGATGTGTTGACGGAGGAGGATAGGACCATGCGTGACCAGCACCTGATGGATAGGCTCATGGCTGAAATGAAGAGGGAACCTGCCCAGGATATGACTGTTCCATTCCAAGAAGCTGTCGGTGTTGGAGTCGAGGACGATGACACCGCAGTTGCTAGACAGCTCAGAGAAGATATGGAAATCGAGCGGTAAGGCAGATTCTACGGAACTATTGATCGCCTTTTTTTCATCACTTCCCTCTGCTATTATTTCGTTACCATCACCGGCGCTACAAATACTGCTTTTTAAACACTCTCTTTGCTTTTTTATTGTTTTTATTATGACGTATGCATTGGGAACCAATCCTATTGGGCTGAAGGAAAGGCTATATTATCGTTTCCATCGGCGCTCTTCACGGTGGCGGAGAGAAAAACTAAAATAGTATGTTGGAGAAAATTTAGAAGCAGTGTTTGCTTTCATCCTTACCTTCCCTTCTCTCTCCTTCCCCTTCTCACCCCCTTCCAATTCCCCATCCCCTTTCTCCAACATTCTTTAAAGGAAACAATAGGATGATTTGACTGGATTGGATGCGAAACCCCTCCGGAGTGTGCCCTTATTATATCTCCACTTGCTTAGTTACTCATTGCTTTTGCTATCCATTGGGCTGGTTGGCGGTTAAGTTAATTTCGGTTCTATCTTCTCTTATTGGTTACGGTTTTTATTGATAGCGGGTGTTATCGTGCACTGTACACTACATACCGCTTCTTCTTTTCCAAGGACGATATTATGGTTAGGTTGAATAACTGGATGGATGGATGGATGGATGGGGGAGGTACAGTATGACACGGTAGCATGTTATTTATGTTAGGCTAGTTTATGGGGCTGAATTGATGATATGATGTGCGATTTAACAATCGGGTCATATGAGGTCTGGGTCATTGTTTATCACTCACAGGGTCGGCGCGGCAGATGGACGGGTAATGTTTAATTTGGCGGGATTGGGATGGTACGATATATACCGCATCATGATAAGTTTGTCCGGGGCGGTATCCACCGACGGACGGTGCGAGGGGCCGTTGTGTTATGTTACTCCACTCTACTCATACCGGTACAATATCGTATGTATATAGTATTCCTGCCCCGTTATTCCCGAGCGGGACACTTGCTTCCATCCACATACCCAAGTTAACAAGTAAGACCCCTCGATTCAAAGTGGATATACTTGATCATTATGGCATGGTAGGCTACAAGTTATACCTTAGTATGATACCGTACCGGTAGAACCGATCGTTGACGTGGGTGTCCCTATGCTTGCAAATACCGCCAGCATACTCGAGTACGGCATCTGTCGTGTGGGTCCTTTACGAGTACGCCTTGACTGTAGTCAAGTGGCTGACGTGACGCGGTGCGCTGGGCTAAGGTGGGCACTTGGTCGAGTATTGTGACTGTGGTGAACGGGTTAAGTTGATAGACTACCGTGCTGTGCCATGCAGGTTCCCCGAGATATTGATCTGGTCGAGTATTATTGATGGAACGCACCGAGTGTAACGCCGGTCCATACGTTCGGATAAAAGTAGTGGTATCAGAAAGTAGGGTTGGAAAGGTGAAAAGATGGAGATAAAAAGTTTTTTTTTTTAAAAAAAAAACACACAAGTTGAATAATCCCACCTCCCCGCTCCATGCCTGTCTTCTGCTCCTAAGGGTGCTACTTTTTCCTCCCACTAGAGGCAACCTTAGCCTCCGCTGCAGCCTTCCTTTCCTCCAACTCTGCCTTCCTCTGCTTCGCCTTCTCCTCTCTCTCCTTCCTGATAACCGCCAGCCTGGCAAGGTCGGCCCTCGCCTGATCAGTCTTGCCAGCCTCCTGCAATTTCCAAAACCTCTCCTTAGCAGCAGCGGCCTCTATCGCTTCTCGCTCCCTCCTCGTCAGCCCCCCAGCTCCTCCGCCTCCGCCTCCAGCATCGGAGCTACCAGGAGCGTTGGGATTCGCCGTCGCGATAACACTCTCCTTAGCTTTCTTGGTAGAGGCAGCCCCCACCCTGCCTTCTTCTTCATCATCATCCTCCTCGTCTCCGGAAGAGGGGAGGGAGGATGGACCGGCGGTAGCGGTGGATTTGGCACGAGCGGCTTCCTTACGGGCTTGCTTCGCCGCGCGCCGTTCCTCACGGGTTATTCCTGGCTCGTTGGCGTCTTCCTCGTCTTCCTCCTCCTCTTCGTCCCCAGAAGAAGGGATTTCAGGTTTTGGGTCCCGAGCCTCCTGTTATTTTGTTAGAGTTGAGTTGAGTAGAGCATAGTAGAATAGAATAGATGTAAAGAGAGGGGGTGAGGAACATACACCCCACATTCCCTCCGGAATACTATCACCATCGTCATTATCTAAGGGCACTAGATTTCTGGAAAACTTCTTGCCACCTAAAGGAAAGTATCACACCATCAGCACAAACAAACGATAAGTAAGATGATATCAAAGGAAGGAAGGGGAAACAAACCACCACGTTGAGGCTTCCCATACTTTCCACCTCTACCCCTCGATGCCATCACAGTACTATAAAATCCTTATCCACAACAATCGATACCCGGAGAACGAAAGAACGAAAGGACGAAAGCGTGTGCGCTACGGTAGGTAGGTACGATATCGTAGATGGGTCAGTTCTCCGGTCTCGTTATGTGGAGTTTAAAAGGTCGAGGTGTGATGCCGGTGGATGGACCAGATATCAGACAGATAGACTATGATAAATAAGTAAGCAAGGTATGATAATTATGATATACGGTATCATAGGCACAATAAGGCTAGGGAGTAAAAGAAAGAAAGGAAAAGAAAAGCTAGACTAATCGGTACAAAGCTATTATAGTACAGTAAGCAAGTTTGATATTATCATAAGCAAAAACCCGAGAAGGAAAATGGAAAAGCGGAGGAGGGGTAAACCCCACACACACACATGGTACCGATGCCCAACTTTCCCCTGATAAACAGAGAGACAAGGTTATTATACCGTATGATATGATACATGCCCTACTATACCGTACGAGTACTTTACCGCCAAGAAGGAAGGAAAAAAAAAAAAAAAAAAGGAAACCCTATCACCAATCTATCGGTAATAGCAACACACACACAAACCATAAAAATGGGTCCCACCTATAAATACCAATCCATCCCCCCCCCCTTTCTTCCTCTCTCTTCCTTTCCCCAATAATTCGTTACATAACTTACCAACCCTCCATATTCACTCTGACTTGCTCTTTACATTCCCCGCAAGGTCGGAGGGGAAAGTGGAGGGGAGAATGATTCCAACCCTGGG